TATAAATATATATATATATATAAGAATAGCAATAACTAATTTTATTATTTTTGTTTCTGATAAAAAATGACAAAATTGATTAATTATGCATAATTCGAAAATATTAAAAATCGCTAAATTATGAATGATATTAATTATCACACACATAATGAATAAAGTTGAAAAAAAATCTTTAATAAACTCACATATGTGAAATAAAAATTTGAGAGACTTGATTGAAAGACTTGATGTACTATTTATTTAAGAATATATGAATGTATGTAAATATATTAATTTAAAATTTGCTATTAAGTATATTATATAATTTTGTAAATGTATGTAAAATCAAGTTATTAAAATATTGACAATACTTAAACATATTCTGAGTGACAATAAAATTGGAAATAAGACCGTTTATGAGAGTACATCATCTAAGTACGAGAAGCTATTGACGGCAAAATTAGATATTGAACTAATACATATTCTTTTTAAATGAATTTATCTCAGGAATGACTGCGCGTTGCTGTTACTACTGGACTTTCAACGCAACTGAAATATTAATAATAATCTTTTTCAAATTTAATCATACACATCTGTAAAGAATTTTTTCTGAGATAAATTAATTTGAAAAAAATTCGTATATGCATTAATTCAACATCTAACTTTAACCGTCAAATGGCGTTTTTCGTATTTAGATGATATTCTGAATGATTTTTAACATATTTTACGTATATAATATTACATATATAATATTAAATTTAATAAGATATAAATATCAAAGATAAAAATATATATTTTTATCTAATATTTTACATTATGTATCAATAGAATTTTTGAAATATACACCAAGTAATTTTGGAAAAATCTAATATAATGTATTTTGTCACTAAAAAATATTATAAATATTAAATACCACATTGTCAATCATCCTTATTTTCAAAAAATTTAACATCTTTTTACATACTGTATAGATGTTTCAAAACTATTGGATTTTCTTTTAAGAGCGGATTTTTTGGAATATTTTAATGAAATTTTTCTAATACGGAAATATCGAGACTATAATAAAAAATTTTTTAATTAATAGCAATTAAAATTCACTAACCACATGATATTTCGCGTGCTTAGGCATGAGATACAAATAGTAAAAATGCTCCACAATGCTTTTTTCAGTAACTTCAAGCTTATCATACAAATCTTATATTGTAATACATATTAATATATATTATGAAAGGTTTACTTAAAATATATTTGCCTCACTTCCCAAACAACACAAAGTCTAAAATTGTGACACAAGATGTCTTCAAGTCGCTTTTTAGACGCAAAAAACGTCTTATGATCCGATTTTAGACATTTTCTATTATCTGGGCTAGATACTGGAAAGCTCTTCATGCTCAACCATCATCATCCGGAAAATATATGAATGTCTCAACATTTTTGTACAAAAAAAATTAATCTAAATAAAAATCGATTATTCAAAAATAGTAACACTTGAAAAATAGAACACTTTATAAAAAGATCCGCAATATGTTAATAACATTAAAATAAAAATCGGATAGAAAATTAATGCTTATCAATTCTGCTATTATAAAAGTGTGAAAAATAAACTTTTTCAAAAAAAGATAACCAAATAGATTATACATCAGGACTGGGTTATTTTTCAAATAATTATGCGAACAATCTTTATTTTCTTTCTCTACTTTAGTTACCTTTTTCTTTTTTTTTTCGATGATTTGCTTTTTGTTCGCGTAATGTCACAAATTAGTTATTATAATAAATATATACTACTTATTTCGTATAATATTATACATGAAATGTGTATAGAAATGTATTCTATGTATTAAAAAATTTCGATAATATAATCAGAAAACTAGTATAAATATGTAATTAATTATTGTTTAAAATGCGAAAAACATCAAACAATTCCATATCTTAGTATACTGAACAAAAAATGGCGGAAATGATTCGACGCATCATTTCGCTAATTCATTGTCATCATCAGTTTATGAGCTATGATTAAAATATGTCCAGTTTTACTTATATTTATTGTATATTTGCATTTATTTGTATAAACTGTCTCATTTTTTTTTAAATTCATGAGTTTTATTTACTTTCATCTGACATAAATCTACCGCACGGACCAATTGTATTTATATATAAACTGTGTACT